ATCCAGAGAAAAGTCATCCTGAGCATAGCGAAATTTTTCAGGACCACAAGCAATAAACACATCATCATCACCAAAGAAATCATGGAGACAGGTTACCTATGGAGAAAGCAAAAATATTTATTGTGATTTGATGGTCTTGTGACAATGAACCTAACACAACAAACTTCACTTATATGCCATCATCTCCAGCCCCTAGGTATCTCCTTTTTCTCAAAGTATCTACTCCATTCAGTCTGCACCATGGCCCCTAAGTAAGGGATTATACACTGAGTGCTATTGTCTTTCAGTGTTGCATATTTAGTAGTCTTGTTTCCATTGCATGAAGATTAAGATTGAGATCATCTCCAAATGGGATGTCTTCCTCTGAAAAAAAAAAAAAAAAGCAGGGAAATGTCCCACACATATCACCTTTTCTTTGACCCTCAAAGACAGGGTGTTCCTGGCCTAACTCGGGCCAGAGGTCTAGGCTGAGGCCGATGAAAAAGACCTTTATGAAAAAGACCTTCTGTACCTTATGGTTGAGAAGACACTGTGGCTTAGCCAGAGGGAAGGTCTTATCTTCTGAATGAGTTTGGAAAAAAGATATCCATTCTTAACTGCTCCTTTTGGGCACACAAAAATTCAACTTGTGCTAAAAATGGGCAAAGAACCTGGTAGTGGCCCAGGATATCATTCCTTTCTGAAGAACTAGGAGGGAAAACTCTGCTGACCACTTCAAATTTCATTAAGAGCAATGGGCCCCAATAGGGTTGAGGCTCTGCTGTTAAAGCCTTGTTCCCAGGATCTTGTCTGCCCTCTAATGCCTTATGCATTGCTGCTGCTCCACAATACAAAGACAGTCTCCTCAAGCTCTTTTCTGGACAAAGAAACCAGGGTCCTTGGGAAAGTATGCTGTTCCCTTCAGCCTCCCCACTTCTTGGCTTTTGTAATTACATATGATAATTAGTCCAGCACATCACACAAACCCCAGGAGAAACTGTAGAGTCAAAACATGCTTATCCCAAACTTTAGCTTGAAAGTGTTCAAAGCCTCTAATTGTTCTAAGCTTCCCATTCAAGCTGCCAGCAATGACTTTCCAAAGGCAGAGTGCTCACAAACTAACAATAGCTTGCTGGGTGCAGAGAGCAACATGTTACATTTGAAAAAATATTTATATTAATAACATCATTCCTCACCCAGGGTCTATTCAATCCCTGTTCCCCCAACCAAGATGATTACAAGTCTTACACAAAGGGAAAGATGCTTAAAGAATATCCCCATTGTCTCAGCCTTCCAATCACCCAAGAGATTCCAAAAGAAGAGAGGAAGACTTGGAGGACAGACCTGTTGTTTCCATTAAGCCTCTTCCCAACACTGGGTCCTGACCTAGTCAAATAGACCAGCACTCTTCTTCAGCCCACTTGTCCTTCATCCATTTATTCTACAAACATGTAATGACAATCAGAGCTACACTAATTGAATGTTTTCTCTGTGACAGGTACTCTGCTAAATACTTCCAATCAACATCTCATTTCACTCTCACAGCAACCCTAGAAGAAGACCTTATTGTCATCCCTATTTTACAGATAAGAAAACTGAGGCTCAGAGACTCTAAGTAAATTATCCAGGTGGAAAGTGATGAAGCCAAACAAACTCAGATCTATTTGACTTCAAAGCCTGTGCTTTTAACCACCGAGCAATACAAAGCACTTATATATACTTCAGGCACTGGGCATACAAAGATGAATAAGATTAAGTCCATGAAAGCATGGAGCTCCTAGTCTGATAGGGTGAGACACATTGAAACAGAGCATTTCAATTTGGTTAGTGCTAGGATCCATGGGAGCTGATCATCACCACATCCAAGTGTCCCAGTCATTGGCTGGAGCTGTTAAGCATCCTGAATATTGTCCTACTAGAAGATCCAACAAGATGGATTGAAACCATGGCTGCGACAATTGGCTCAAGTATAGCAAGGATCATGGAGCTGGCACGGGATCAGGTGGCATTTCGTTCTGCTGTGCATGGGGTCACTATGAGTCAGAAACGATTCAACGGCACCTAACAACAACAGAAGATACAATGGCAGAGGTCACGTTGCTCTGAGCCCTACTGCAGACTCCCACCTACATCTTGGACCTTGACTCAATAAAATATGGAGCCACTGATTTTGATACATCCCTGATTATCCCTTGCCACTTCCTTGACCCTGAAGACCACATCCATACCCATTTGTTTGAGACTGCAACCTGACCCTGACTGGCTGCCTTTAGTTTAAGTCATGACTGAGGGAACACTCACCCTTGGGCGTCCCTCTGCTAGTGGTCTCTAGGATTTGACATACTTCCAAAACAACCTTGTTTCAAGACCTGCCTGTACTTTCATGTGTGTGTATTCACCTAGTCCTCCCTGTTAGATCACAGGTCTCCTGGATGTAAAGAGCAAGTTAATGTGTATCCCTCTCTCTGTATCTCTCTGTGGTTCCTGGTTGAGTGCTAATCACATACTGAGTATTCAGCTAGGGCTGTTTCTGCCTCAACTGCACACAAAGGAGATAGTAAGGAGGAACATCAGAGGCTTTCCAAGGGTATAAAAAGGCAGAAAATTAGGAAAGAGAAAGAAGAAATCATGGCCAACATCACCATTCAAGATCAGAGTTCAAAGGTTTTATAAGGTAACACAAATACACAAACTTAAGAATAGGAAAGAGGAATTGACTGTGAGTTGTTTTTTGCTCAACTATGCTAATTTATTTTAAAACTCAGATGAAATGGATGATTTTTAAGGAAAATCTAAATAATCAAATCAACTCAAAAAGAAATAGAAAACGTAAACAAACTAATAGCTATTAAAAAAATAGTAAAGACTTCAAACAGCAACGTTCTCCCACAAAAGGCACCAGAGCCTTCATTTTGGAGGTATTTGTGGTAATTGCCTCCCAAGAAGAGAAGCCAAAAGCTCAAAAGGAGCCATTGCTGTCCCATGCCATGATACCCTATTGCAGAATAACAAAGCCTTCGTAGATTGTTCTGACGGTTGCCACTGCAAAGACCTATCTATCTTCAATCTTAAGCCTCTCTACCCCTACCCAGGTTTGGGAGAAGCCTTTGGATAACCCCTCCTTTGGGGAGCTTCTAAGAAAGGCAGAGCTGCCTATGCTTCTGACAAACTCACAATGCTGTGGCTGGCTTCAGATGCATTCATTTTGCAACCCAGCTGTTCAGCATCAGGTTTCTTATATGATCTCACCCCACATTTTACTGGCTCCCAAATGCAGGCAAATTCACATTGTGCATATAGATACCCAGCTTTCCCAAATGTCTTGGTTATTGAGACATAGCAGGCTCCCTCTTTGTTACACGGTTGGGAAAAATAAAACAATCTCCATCTTAATTAAGTATGAGGAACCCAAGACACAGAGAAGGAGCTCTGGTAGTGCTGTGGGTAAAGCATTGGGCTGCTAACCAAAAGGTTGGTGGTTTGAACCCACCAGCCACTTCACAGGAGAGACATGGGAATCTGTTCCTATAAAGAATTACAGCCTTGGAAACCCTACAAGGCAGTTCTACTCTGTCCTGTAGGGTGGCTATGAATTGGAATCTACTCGGTGGCAGTGGGTTAAGATAGAGACTAAAAGTGACCCAAGCATACACAACTGGCTCATGGAGAATTGAAACTAGCACTCTGGCATCCTGCTTCAGTTCAGGACATTTAAAATCACTTGCCTATGAAAATTTTCCTTCCTGAATCCCTGGCTTCAAAGGCATGTGAATAGCCTAGACAGGAGAATCCCCATTTGTCCTAGTAAGTGCCTGATACATGATTAGCTGCATTGAAACATTTTACTGAACTGAAAAAAAAAAAAGAGTTATTTATGGAACATATCTTTTCTTTTCACTCCCCATTTACCATCCCCAACCCTAACCCAGTCTCCTCCCCTCCCTGCCCAGTAGCCCTCCCCTATGCCCCTCATAGTTATGCACTCTTGTGTGTCCTGCATTTCCTCCATGTGAATGTTGCCCTTCTGGTGCCCCGTGGTCCATTGCTCCAAGGGATGCATTTCCATAGAGTATGTGGGTGTGTCATCCTGGGTTGAGTGATCTGTGTGTACACCTTGTTTACTATTGGGCTGAGAGCCAGCCCCTGGGAGTGACTTTTATTCCAGGCCCAGAATAGTATTGGGGGTCTCACCAGACTATGGAACATATCTTTAATCTATGGACAAGAAAACTTCTATTCACTACTGTAACTGGCTACTGAGTAAGTGATGGAGAAAGGAAAGGAAAAGGAGGAGTATAGGAGGAAGGAAGAAAAACAAGAGGAAGAAGGAAAAGAAAAAGGACAAGAAGGAGATAAAGCAGGATGAGAAGAATAGAGTGGAAAAAAGAATTCTCAAAAAAACTCACACCTACTTACACTGCTTTTTAAATTTCCATGGAGGTAAATGAAACCCAAAGTGCACCTTAGCTTACATTGCATATGCACGATTTTGTAAATTAGGTTTTTTTGAGCTAAAATGTCCATCATTAGGTAGCAACTTAAGTGGTAAAATTATAGTCATCATGATACAACTTACAACATCCTCAGAGATCAAAGTCTTGCTGACATCAGCTTTAGCACATGCCACACTTGGTTATTTAAGTCAGAGAAGAGAACATGAAAGCATGACACCTCATCTTTGTAATTAATGAACTGCCAACACACAATCAATAAAATCAATTTGCATTTACATTAAACCATTGATTCAATGTTTTTCTTTTTTTTTTTTAACATCAGGTGTTGGGGAAAAGGAGGCCAGCTTGGAAGTGCATTAGTGTGAACAATAGATCATATGAATGGCCCAGTGGCTTAAATGTCAAAGTACCAATAGGGAAATGGAGACAACATACCACCGTGTGGGAGCAGTTTGAGTCTATTAGCTGCAAATGGAAACTTCACTCTGTAACTTGATTTTAACTTGATTACATTCTCCATCCACATAAAACGGATGCTGGCAGCTAGTTCTTGTATGTGCCTGCTGCTGGTAGAGTATACATTTCACTAACTAATTGTTCAGAAAGAAACATTATCTTGGGAAGCAAGGTCTTGCTTGTCTATCTATAAGACTCACTTTTCAA